TCCCCAGCGCAGGGATTACAGGAGTGAGCCATCATGCCTGGTTTTTGTAGCCTGCATGGCATGCGGTACAAGGGATCAAACTAGGGTCCTTGCGCTTGTGAGACAGGCACTTCGACAGCCGAGCTACCTTCCCAGCCACTCCCTGTCGTCTTCTGGTGCTCTGGTGGGCCCTATCCGGGTCTCGATACAGAACAGCTTGCAGGAACCTTGGGTTTCTCTTTGGACTCAGGGGCCCCTAGGGTGGGGGTGGGGTGAGCTCGGCCCAGCTATGCGGGGGGAGTCGGGGAGCTGGGCTTGCAGGTGCTCCCTTCATGCTTGAGCCTGCCCCAGGGCCCTGGCGAAGAGAGGTTTCTGCGACAACTGGATTTTTCATGCTCTTCCAAACGAGCCTATAAAAATTCAGTCATTTGGTTTGCAGACAGAAACTTTGCTTTTAAAAATCTTTGAGTTATTTCCTTCTTTCTTCCTTTTCAGGGCCAAAGTTATTTCAAACGAATAGGGTGCTGAGAATCGGGGGAGGCTGTGCATTTGTCAGCCTTATTTCCCTGTGGGTTTGTAACTGTGGGGGACTTTGCTTAAACCCACATGACATTTGTCTCTTCGCTATTGCTTTCTTACCCAGAGGGGCTCTGTCCTCAGTGGCACATTTTCCTTTTTATCTATCTGAGAGGGTTATATGAGCAGAGGAAGGAGGGGAAAAGAGCCCATATTTGCATTTTTATGCATGCCTTCTTTCCCAGGCAGACTACCCCCAGTCCTTTGTCAGCTCTTGCACTCATTCAGGGGTTGTGGGGTGGAAGTTCAGCCAAGCAGAGGAAGGGGCTGGCTCCTCCATCAGCCATGAGGGAATGGGCTACAATGCGTGCCCTCCCTTGGAGCTCCCCATCTGGGTGACTGCTCACCAAATCTGTGGTTTCATTCAGTCTTGGACCCAAACTTGACTAGTGCCTCCTGTCTACTGAGTCCTGGGATACGTCTGTTCCCAAAAGGTGTCATGTGTCCAAAGGTGGAACTCTGGGAATGGGACAGGATTATGGTGAGCCTGTTACTGATCAGCGGATTCATCACTGATGAAGATTAGCAGCTGGATGTGCTGTGGGAAGCCAGGGCCTGGTAGGAAGTGGACACTGGGTCCTGGGTGGAAGGGTACTTTCTTATCTCTGTCTCTTTTTTCCCTGTCTGCTTCCTGGCTTCATTAGGGCAAGAAATTTCCTTCCACCAAGCACTCCTACCATGCTACTTCTATCTTGGAGCTAGAAAAAATGTACTAAATTCTCTGAAACTGAGCCAAAATAAACCTCTCCTCCTGCAAACTGTGGGTATGGGGTACCTTTTCCCAATGAGGAAGTGTCTAACACAGTCTTCAGGGATCCTGGCTTCTCATGGGTACCAATCACAGTGATGGAGGTCAGCAGTACACAGGTGGTTGTGGAGGAAGAAGTAGAGGCCTAGGAACGGAACAAGGTTGGGGAGGGACCCATACCTATGATGAAGCTTGAGCTGCATTCTGAATGGAAGTCAGCTGGGGTTACTTTTCAGGGGGCAACATCACTGAGGTATGGAAGGGGAGAGGCACGTAGAAGATCCCGGTGTTGGCACAGCTGGGCACCAGGTAGCTCAAAGAGTGCTGGATGGGGCAATGTGAGGGGAAATGAGACGAGAACCAAAGGAAGAAAGTCTTGAAAGTTCTGCTAAGGATATTGGACTTTGTGTGTGGATAATGAGAAAGAGAGAAAGCTCTGTGATATGCTGTGGAGATGAAATGGGCAGGGGAATATGGGAGTCAGGGGAGGTTATTGAGACCAGAAGTGATGGTGTGGTTATTTGCAAAAAGACAGCAGGGAGAAGAGAAAAGATGATTTTGTACCTGACTGATCTGGAGGAAGGACAGGGCAAGGCATGAGGGAAAACCTTTAGCTTTTAAATGATGGGGGAAGTGGTATCTCCACACAAATTAGATGCTCTGGGTGGAGGAGCACTGTGTGTCCACATAGGCACTGAGTAAATATTTGTTGAGTACATGAACACATATGCATAGAAGAGGTGATAGCTCTTACCACAACTAATTTAGAACTTCAATGCAATTCCAATTAAAAAGTCCATTATACCATCTTATGGAACTTGTCCAAATCACTTCTGTAATTTAGATGAAGAATGAAAGCTCAAGAATAATAATGATAATTTTTCAAATGAAGAGAAAAAGGATGGCACCTTTTCTACCAGAGATGGAAGATGTACTATAAAATTATGAGAAGCATGTAAAGTCTGGTACTGTCTTAGAGAGAATTATATTAGTAGAATAGATGTAATTGTGCTAAGTCACTTAAGACCTCAGTCACTTACTCCCAAAAGCAAAGTTGGGTCTTTGTGAGTGGGGCTACCTGGCTTAAAGTATTTGCTAGTTGCCTGTTTGCCACACAGAAGCTTGCCTACCTTTGTGGTAGAAAGAAACTCAAGCATTTATGGGAATTGGTATATCATGGAGATAGTATTACAGGTGCCGGACAGCAGACCCTTGCCAACAAATGGTGCTATTTTTGATAAGAAGAAAGTTAAAATTCGATTCTTACCTCATTCCATAAATAAATAAATTGTGGGTAGTTTGAATATCCAAATGTGGAAAAAAAAAAAACCAACTTCATGACCTTGAGAAGGTAATAGAGGGTCGGTTTACCATCTTAGGGTAGGATAAAATCTTTATGGGTGAGGCATAAAATCATACTTTAGAGAGGAAAAATTGCATGGAACACCAGCTTTACAAGCACTGCTGCTCCCACAATAGCAGCAACAACAACGACAACAACAACAACAACACACACACACACTCACACACACACCTAACAATATAAGGTATGACCCCAAAATTCTATAAATGTTTAAATTTTAAAAATGTATTATACTACAAGACACATTGCCCTTAATCCTCTCTGAATGTCCATTGCTTAGAACAGACTAACTCCGGCATTCTTGCCACTTTCTGACATGGTTCTGGAAGTCCTTTCTCAAGAGTTTCTTTAGTTGCACTGCTGTGGTGCCTCGATGTCCCTAGTCATTTCACAGCCCTTATCATTCATGGTAATTTTGACTTTGGGGAAGATCCAGAAGTCACATGCTGCCAGACTCAGTGACCAAGGTGGATGAGGACACTGCGGTGTTTTTATAAGCCTGCTTTTCTGCTGGACGGCACGGGGCAGCAACATTCACAGTATTATTAATCAAAGTTTGTAAGGACACTAACAAAACAGAACTTCCAGAAATGCTTCAGGAAGTGAAAACAATGGGATAATGTGTTCAATGTGAGACCAAGTAGTTGGGAGGGGATTAATGACAATGAGATGATCTTTATCTGTAATAAAAAAACTCTTTAAACATTCAGCATGTTTTTCAGTCACATCTTTACACAATCTGTAAGACCAAAGGAAGCATGAACACGTGGTGCCAGACACGGTGAATACTTTCTCTCTTTCTTCTTTCTTTGTATTCAGTACAGGGTCTCACTATGCATATACAGCTTGGACTCCTAGTGATCCTCCTGTTTCATCCTCCCCAGTGTTGGAATTGCAGGTATGCGCCACCTTGCCTGGTCTTGGTGGCTGGCTCAGCGTGCCTGTGGGCAGGGCCAGCATAGCATGTGGTGTGGGGGATTGAACCCTGGTTCCTATGCTTACCTAAGCAGGTGCTCAGTTTGCTGAGCTATCCCTCCTGCCTGTACATGCCCTTTCCTATGAGCCCATCTTACCACTGGAGGGCATGGCAGCAGCATTCACTGTGTTCTTGACCACACCCATAAAGACACTTGCAAAAGAGAACCACCAGAATTTCTTGAGAAAGTGGTAAGAATGATGGAATAGATACATTTGAAGGGAAGGACAATCTTTGAGAAGGATTAATGGTAATGCCTCTTTTTACTGTAATATTTTTTATTTTTATTTTTTATTAGCTTTATTGAGAAACAAATAGCAATGAGCAAGTTTCAAAACAGGTTAGTAGGACAGTTACAATAATTAGTATACTGCATATTGTTGTCTTCATACTAGTTATTCAGAGTACAAGATGCAGACATGATATCCTGTCTAAACACTATTAGTATAAATTTTTCTTCTCATTGAATTAAGGCAAAGTAGCTGTTTATCTATCCTATTTTTATATACTGATACAAAATGGCCCTTCATTTATATCCCCTTTTTTGTTTAGTTTTGTCAGAGATGGGTATTCCATTGCCATTTAAATATTGTAGGTGCATAAATTCAGCAAAATAATCTAATATAGTCCAGTAGTCCATAATAGTAGTGGGTTATCCGTAGGACTGGCAATGTCACAAGTTGTTGACTTGAGCCTTTTACAGTTCAGCATATTAATATGGCTTTACTTTTTATACCTCGTTTTTATACTTTTCTGCTGGATGGTTAAGACCAAGATAAAGCAAGACCTATGTAACAAGAAATGTAGCTATTGTATCTGATAAAGTCAGCCAAATCCCCTCAGGATTTACCCTGAAATATTGTACCACAGTTTGTAGATCCTTTGTGAGTGTCAGCCATGTGGATGTCACAGCCATTGCTTGACCAGTTTGCTCTCTGTGAAAGCATGAGAGAATGTTCTCTCTCTAGGTGATTCTTCTTAGGTGCATTGTATATCATCGATCACTTTCTTCTGTGGCCCCATAATCTCCTTCATCAGATGTAATATTTTTTTAATTTGAAACATTTGTTGCATTTTTCCATCCTCTCTTGCACATCTGGAAAGGAGGAAAAATGGTACCCTGCTTTCTGAGTTCTTGACCGCGGCTCATGTCCTTTAGACAATCTGAGTTTCTGACCTGGGGAGTGAGACAAGGAAGACTGGGGTACTGGAACCCTCCCTCGTTGCACAGCACAAAGCTGATTCTGATTGTCAGCTCTTCTTTCCCCTCTGGGATCTACAGGGCCACATTTCCGGCTCCTGTCCTAGGAGCTTTATTTTTTTATTTTATTTTATTTTATTTATTTATTTTTTTTTTTCTGGGTTTACATTTTATTGGAAACCTTAAATACTCTTCAGACACAGTATGTCTTCAACTGAGGCTCTTGTACGGCCGACACAGAAACTGGTTTCAGGGTTATCAGCAAAGTGAAGGGCAGGACAGAAGAGAGCTTATTCTGGCGGGAGGCTCTCAAGACGCATGCTCCTCGGCAAGTTTATCAGCTTTTGCCACAGCTTCTTCAATGGGTCCCACCATGTAAAAGGCCTGTTCTGGGAGATGGTCATAGTCGCCTGCCAAAATCTGCTGGAATCCTTTGATGGTCTCCTTCAGGGGTACCAGCTTCCCCATATGCCCTGTGAAGACCTCAGCAAGCTGGAATGACTGAGACAAGAAATGCTGCATTTTCCGTGCTCGGGACACAGTCAACTTGTCCTCCTCAGAAAGTTCATCCATACCCAGGATGGCAATGATGTCCTGGAGGGATTTGTAGTCCTGAAGGATGTTTTGCACCCCACGGGCAACATCATAATGCTCGCTGCCAACAATGTTAGGATCCATGATGCGAGAGGTGGAGTCCAGAGGATCCACAGCTGGATAGATACCCAGCTCAGCAATAGCACGAGACAGCACGGTAGTAGCATCCAAATGGGCAAAAGCAGTAGCTGGGGCAGGGTCAGTCAAGTCATCAGCAGGGACGTAGATAGCTTGTACAGAGGTGATAGATCCTTTCTTGGTGGTGGTGATTCTTTCTTGCATAGTACCCATGTCAGTTGCTAGGGTTGGCTGATAGCCTACAGCAGAAGGAATTCTGCCCGGTAAGGCAGACACCTCTGAGCCAGCCTGGGTGAAGCGAAAGATGTTATCGATAAGCAGCAGTACATCTTGACCTTCTTAGTCTCTAAAATATTCGGCCACAGTCAGCCCCATCAGGGCTACCCGGGCACAAGCACCAGGTGGTTCATTCATTTGACCATATACCAATGCTACCTTTGAGGTAGCATCTTTTAAATTGATTACACCAGATTCAATCATTTCATGATATAAATCATTGCCTTCTCGGGTCCTCTCACCGACACCAGCAAACACGGAGTAACCACCATGGGCTTTGGCAACATTGTTGATTAACTCCATGATCAACACGGTCTTGCCAACTCCAGCACCACCAAACAGCCCAATTTTGCCACCTTTGGCATAGGGAGCTAGCAGATCCACAACCTTGATCCCAGTCACCAGAATTTCCTGCTCAACACTCATCTCTATGAACTCAGGAGCCTCAGCATGAATAGGAGCAAATTGTTTGGTTTTGATAGGCCCTCTCTCATCAATAGGTTCTCCAATGACATTCATGATTCTGCCCAAGGTCTCAGGACCAACAGGAATTTTGATTGGTGCACCAGAATCCAGGACTTTCTGGCCTCTGACTAGGCCTTCTGTACCATCCATGGCAATCGTTCTTACTGTACTCTCACCCAGATGCTGAGCCACTTCCAAAACCAGCCGGGTCTCCCTGCCTTGCACTTCCAAGGCGTTTAGAATGGGTGGCAATCCTTCATCAAACTGGACGTCCACCACTGCACCGATGACCGCCACGATGCGTCCGGTGGCGGCGCCTGACTTGGGCGACGGAGATGTTTGCGCCGCATAGTCTCTGGCAGGCTGGACCGCTGCCGGGGCGGCCCGCAGTAAAAGCTGAGCTTGGGGGAGCGACGCCGAAGGGCTGAGTCCCCGCAAGGCCCCGGAGGCCGACGCGGCGGCCACACGACCCACAAGACTCAACATGGCGGAGTCCGGGTGGAGACTTCCTAGGAGCTTTAGATAAAACATTTTATCGAGTCATAGACTGAACACTGATATTTCAGAATTCAGAAGTCGTTCTTGACACTCCTGGAAAGGTGTGGTTATCCAACTATCAAGCTGTGGGCTTTGCTTCACCGAGAGGATGGAGCTGCATTTTACCATCGGTTATAAATCTGAGGCATGTGCTTGTGTCTGCGGCCTCGGCTAGACATTAAGCAAAAGAGAAGTGGATGGATGAGCCAACTCCTCCACTCAGCTGACAACGGGAATTGGGAGTGATGTGAGACTTTACATAAGGGCATCTATAATTCTTAGTTATTTCTCGGCATAGAACTATTAATAGTGTTCTTAGAAATGGACATTTGAATGCTCAGACCACTGGTTTGTACAAGGCTATTTGAATAAGAGCTTCATACACATCCTGGTCCTGGCATTTGCTCAGCCGGTTGTCTGGGGAACTATTACAGGGCACTGAACCCTGGGCCTTGGCACCAGGTCTCAACTCGCAATCCTCGTGTCTTAGCTTCTCAAGCTTCTGGGATCACGGGCATGTGCCACCAGGCCTGGTTTAGTTTTTGAAGCCTTGAGATTGTCTTGGGGTTCTGCGTAGGATCCTGCTCAATGTCCAACCCATAGCTGCTAATATGGGGTTTCAGGAGATGACCCCCAGGGCAGTAAGGATGATATAAATAAGAGACGTTCCCCTTGAGGAGGCCCTCCCCAGTTCCTACAGTGTTCTTGGAACTTTACATTTGTTATCTGTGTTCATTCTCACCATAGCTCCTGAGAAACATGTGTCCTTACTAATTCATGGCTGGTGGATAGCAAAGCACAGGGAGAGGCCGAGAGTTCAAGATCACAAAACCAGAATACTAGGAAACAAAGGCTCTAGGTTAGAAGCCAGGCTGGCTGGAACTCTAGAAGCCACTCTGGAGCACCACACTTTTTTTCCTGTGGGAATTGAGTTTGAGGATAATGACAGGTTTAGACGAGCACATTATTTTTCAGTACAAATATTAGACTCCAACCATACGTATATTTCTGCAAACACACTGCTTTTTTAAAAACTCACATCTGTTTTTGAAGTCCAGTAGGAGATATCATTAAGGAACACCAAAAGGAATTTCTTTTGTTCAGTGAGGCTCATCTTGAAAAATTCATTGCTTTGACAAATCAAAGATGTTCTTATTAATCCGAACTTAGGCAGACATTGACTGAGCCCCTGTATGATATCAGGTACCTTTCCAATCTATTAATGTTGACAGTGTTTTTCTAACAGCGCTCAGTGGCCCCATGAGGTGGTATGGCAGGGGCAGCTCCCTGTCCTCCTGACCTCTTTCTGCTTCTGCCAGGTGCCTGGCGCCAGATCACACCTCCCAGCCTCTCTCACAATTAGGCATGGCATTGCCATGGGACTGAATTAAGCCCAATAGATTGTGGGTGAGAGTGACAGGCATCACATCCCTGCCTGACCTATAAAAGCCTCTGTTCATGATTTCACATGTGTTTTCTCTTTGGAGACCCAGGGAGCCATGTGCTGAAGATGGTGGGGGCCACAGGATGGTAAAAGCCTGGGCTTCTTCATCACTCTCACAGAGGGACTCTTAGGCTTTGCCTGAGCAAGAGACAAAAGGCTGTTGTGTGACTCCACTGAGGCTTGGGAAGAGTCTGTCATAGAGGCTTAACATTATCTTAATTGTTACAGCCAGACAATGACATAACCCAATGAATGAACAATACTCATTTCCCCACTTTTAAGCAGTTTTTAAATTATTGGGCTGGTTCTTATAGTCCCCAGCTTCTAATACTTGCTGCCAGCCTAGATGGAAGTCTAATTCCAAAAGAATGAATTTTCATTTGTTTCCCTATTACACGAGGCCGTAACAATCTCTTTAATTGAAATTCTCTGCTTTTAGTCTCCTGAACCACAATGGATAGTAGTGTGAGTTCAGACTTCCAGCTTGCCTGAGTCCTAGCTTGTGGTTCAAACTCTCAGGAGGGGATTTACTCCCCTCCCTCTATCTGATGTCAGATTGAGACAAGCAAGGTCCCTCGTAACTTCTTCTACGTGAAGGTTTTATTTCTCATTTCTCAGGCATCTACTCATGGTGTTCTGGCTTTATTGGGGAACACCTAGTAGATACCCCTCTTGCCCATTTTTTTTCTGTTTTAGTGGTAGTTAAAACAATATTGCATCTTAAAATTGATGGTGTCTTCAATTCAATGAAATGTGGTATTATTATTTCCAGTTTATAGGTGGAAAATGAAAACATCAGAGGCACAGAGATTAAGGAGCATGCCAGTTACATTTCAGGGCTGAGATGTGAACAAGACAGTCTGACTTCAGAGCATGCCATGGCATGCCACTACCATGGTGGGTCTGGTACAATGGTTGGCCACCCAATAGAGGAGGGGCAGGGGACTGACTCAGGGCTGAAGCCAGCTCTAGTGTCATCAGGAGCTGGACTTTTAGTGTGACACTAAGCCTTGGTTTCGGTGACGTTTAGCTAGGATGCCGCGTAATGCATGCAGCCCAGTGCTGGGCACATACAGCACACTGAGCCACTCTCAAGCACTGTCATCCTTCTCACCATTTCTCTAGACTGTCTCCTGGGAGTTAAACATGGAGTACCTGGCAGTCTCAGTTACTCTTCTCTCATTGATTGGACAAATTACCAACACTCAAAATGAAGGAAAGAAAGGTTTATTTAGCTCACAGTTACTGGAGGTTTCAGTCCATACTCAGCTGGTTCCAAGGCAGAGCAGCACGTGGCAGAGAGAAACCCTTTCATGGTGGCAGCCAAGAGCAGAGGACAAGGGAGGAGTGGCAGCAACAATGTCTCCATTAAGTTGTGTTCAGTCTATCCACCCAGACTGGGTGTCGTACTCACACCCATAATCCCAGAACTACTGAAACCCATAATATCAGCCTTGATCATGAATTAATCTCAAACTCTAGAAGTTCCTGCCCCATGACTGCATGAGGCTTGGGGGAAAATTAGACACAGACCATAACATCAGTCTTTTCCAACTCTGCTATTTTATGTAGGGCTATGATGAAGTCACCATAATCTTCATTCCAGAGGAGAGAAATTGAGCTCAGAGATATTATAACTTGCCCAGGACACACAGGAGTTGGGGCCTGAGCTGGGATCCAAGCTGAGGCCTGCTTGGCTCTACAGACTGAGCTCCTCGTCTCTACCTTGCCTCTCTCAGCTCAGTTTGCTCCAGACACAGCGACATTTCACAGAGTCAAGGTCCTGGGGAAGCACGTGCAGTGATGTATCCTGCAATCCCAGTTATTTGGGAAGATGAGGCAGAATGATCATAAATTTGACACCTGCCTGGGAAAATTTAGTGAGATCCTGTCAAAAAAAAAAAAAAAAAAAAAAAAAAAAAAAAAAAAAAAATCCCAGCAATGTCAAGGCCTGCTTCAAGAGCTCTTCCTGAATGGTCAGAACACCAAACACTGAACACTAAATCCCTTCTCTTGTGCTGGCAGGCAAGCAGGCATTGTTTGCTCCAAAGACAAAGCAGCCAGCCTAAAGCAGCTTAAGTCAAATTTGAGTCTAGTGTGCATTGTGTGTTTTCATGTGGTCATCCTAATGTCCTAATAATTCAGGTCATAAAGGTCCCCCATGCTCCCCATTCTTAGCCAAGGAAAGCTTCCTGGAGGAGGAAGCATTCTAGCTAGGTCTAGAAAGATGGCACGTGCCATGGGATAGATGGTACTGGAGGCTAGTGTGACAGGAGTGCAGGGAACGCTGTGGCCATGGGGCTGCGGGTGGGGATATAAGACAAGGAGATTTTTTTTGGCGTTGCTTTCTAGGAGTGCTTTGCAGGTATAAGAAACACAGCTCTAGCCCATTCCTGCAGCACAAAGGCCAGGACGGGGTGGTGGTCTTGGCAACCAGCCAGCTTCGGCCCCCCAGAGAGTTCAGTGGTTTTCTGGACACTCAACTGTGGCTGCAGGCAGTGACTCACCCTGCGGCTCCTGCCCCTTGCTCCTACCTAGCTTTCCAAGGCATTTCTCTCTTTGTCTTCCTTAGTGCCAGGCCCGGCACTTCCCTCCTGGATGCCCCAGTCTGCCCAGCTCACAAAGCCCCATCTGATCTAGCATGAAGCTGGTTTTATTTTTCATAAAGAAAAAGACTGTGGAGGTGATAGAAAGCTGAAACTCCAGCCAAAGAAAGGAATGTGTGGAAACGTGTCACCAAAATTCTGCCAGACATGGCTCGCTCCTAAGACTCAAAAGATGGTGTCTGGCTAGGCCACTTCCCTTTCTTGGCTCTGTCTTCCCTGTTGGCTTCTCAGGCATGTGGGACCCTCCATATGATGAGCCCCACAGCCCAGCTGGCCTGACTACCTGCCAGGGTCCCAATTGACTTCTTCTCTTTGGTAACCCCTTTGTGCACTAGACCACATGTACCAATCTTCTGAGCCATCATGGTTGAAGGGTGAGTCTCCCTGACAGCCTGTCTGGGATGTGGATCTCCTCCAGGAAGGGAGTGGGTGAGTGGTGCAGCAAGGAACCTAAACCTCAGAGCCTGGGGGCAGGGAGGGAGGTTCTCAAGGGTAAACTTGTGCTTCCAAGCCCAGGGAGGTGAGATGCCAGCAGGCATTTTCTGCAGGGCAGACCTCTAGATGTTCTGTCCTTGGTTCACGGTGGCCAGAATTCTCAGCTTCTCTGCAGGATGGCCTGCACTCTGCTTTGGGAAGGGATCAGCTGGCATGGAGTGCACTGTTAGCTTTGGAAGTGAGGTGGCCTTGGGGAGTTGAGCCGTGAATGCCAGCTGGTGGGAGGCACTTCTTGAGCTTCTGAGAAAACCCTGTTTCCCACAGCAGGAGATGGCGTTGCGTGTGTGGCCACGGTTGGTGCAGGTGGGTCTGGTGGATTTGGGACCATGCAGGCAGCTACAGTTGTAGGGAGGATCTTGGTCCTACTAGGACCTTCCATAAGCATCCTTTTGAGTGGACACCTGATTTATCAGTTCCAG